CCCCCCCCCCGCCCCCCGAGTGCACAAATTTTTGTGCACCGGGCCTCTAGTCTCTATATATAAAAGCCAAGCAACCAGCACACCGAAACGACCGTAACGACTGGAACGACCAGTCGCTATGACATGCACTGCTGCTAGCCAACTGGCCTGATGGGGGGTGGGCGGTTCCTCCACCCCAGCTGGCCCCACCCCCAATAGGCCCCCCAATACCTTGATCGGAAGTGAGGCTGGCCGGCCAACCTCCTATGTTCCCTCCCCCGAGCTGGCTCAGCCCAATCAGCCCCCATGGGGCAGTCCAGCTGGACCCCACCCATGCACAAATTCGTGCACTGGGCCTCTAGTGTATTCTTATAATTAACCAACTATTGGAAATTTACCCAAACAGACAAATATAGATCTAAGTGATCTTCAAAATGTTCCTCATCTCTTTACTTCTCATCAAATGATCATAGTTCTCTTAAGGGGATAAAGACAGAAAGAAAATCATATATATTAGTTATAGTATTATATACTATATATATATTTATTAGAGGCCCAGTGCACAAATTCATGCACAGGTGGGTCCCTCTGGGTGGCCTGCAGGGATTGGGCCAAAACCCGAAGTTCAATGCCGCCTGCAGCTCCTACCTGCTGCTCCCACTCATCCTGGCCCCACTGTACCTGCCACAGGCTCGTGCCCAATCAGTCCCGATCTGGAGAGGCTCATGCTGATGCAGCAGTGCTCACCAGCCATGAGCCCTGTGTCTGGTGCCCTTCCGAGGGGAGTGGCTTTCGGGATCTGGCTGAAACCGGCTCTCCAACATCCCCGAGGGCTCCCGGATTGCGAGAGCGTGCAGGCCAGGCCGAGGAATCCCACTGGTGCACGATCGGGCAGGGGAGGGACCGCAGGAGGGCTTCAGGGCGTGTCCAGCCCATCTCGCTTAGTCCCGATCGGCCAGACCCCAGCAGCAAGCTAATGTACTGGTCGGAGCATCTGCTCCCTGGTGGTCAGTGCACATCATAGCGAGCGGCTGAGCAGCCTTAGCATATCATTAGCATATTACGCTTTGAGTGGTTGTTCTGCCGTTCAGTCTATTTGCATATCACCCTTTTATTATATAGGATTATCCTTTTAAAGATACATTGCAAAATTCATAAAATCTTTGGAGATCTTTACCAGCCATAGGGGAAGGTTCTTTGTTTTAAATTTTTTTTTCATTGATTTTATAGATAGAGGTAAGGAGAGGGAGAGAGATATATAAACATTGATAAGAAACATCAATATCAACTGGCTACCTCCTGCATGCCCCCTACTGGGGATTGAGCCCACAACCCAGGTATGTGCCCTGACCAATAATCGAACTGCATCGATACTTAACCACTGAGCCACACCAGATGGGCCACAGGGGAAGTTTTTATTCAAAACTCTTTTTCTAGCCCAGCCAGCATAGTTCAGTGATTGAGTGTCAACCTATGAATTGACCCAGGTTGCAGGCTCGATCCCCAGTGTAGGGCGTGCAGGAGGCAGCCAATCAATGATTCTCTCTTCTCATTGATGTTTCTATCTCTCCCTCCCTCTCCCTTCCTTTCTAAAATCAATAAAAAATAAGTAAAGACTATATAAAATCGCCGAACCGGTTTGGCTCAGTGGATAGAGCGTCGGCCTGCGGACTGAAGGGTCCCAGGTTCGATTCCAGTCAAGGGCATGTACCTTGGTTGTGGGCACATCCCCAGTGGGGGGCATGCAGGAGGCAGCTGATCGATCTCTCTCATCGATGTTTCTGGCTCTCTATCCCTCTCCCTTCTTCTCTGTAGAAAATCAATAAAATATTAAAAAAATAAATAAATAAAATAAAATGATGCAGCCACTTTGGAAAAAGTCTGGCAGTTCTTAAAAAATTAAAACAAACAAACAAAAAAAAACCCTCTTTTTCTAGAATTGTTTTTCTGCAATAGTAAAAACCTGAAGAGCATAAAATTAATATTCTCTTTCTGTTTGTCATTTAAAGATGATCAATAACATTTTGAACCAAGATTTTACAGAGAATGAAATGAGAATCCATCAACTTGGAATTTCATAATTAAAAAAAAAAATGTTTACTAGGATAATCCTTTTGTTAATATACTTCAATAAAGCTTATAATCTTTAAGCATGAGCCCAGTAATCATTCACAATATTGATACATACTTCTAGACTTTCCATTTTAGATTGTTTCAGAAATAAAGCATTTTTCTGCTTAATTTATTAAAATAAAATTATGTTGAAGGCAAAGATCAACAGTAATTAATATACAAATGCGAGAAGTCCTTCAGAAGGCTGAATGGGGCTTTGAAATTCAGCAGGGCTGAATATCTGCATGTTACCTGCTGCTAACTGAGTGGCCCAAGGCAATCCCCTAACCTGATAATCTTTTACTGTTTACTAAACTTTACCTTTGATATGCCTGTTTGCATTCCTAAAGGGTAATTGTGTATCCTAGTAAATGAAAAGGAGATGGATCCGGAGATTCAGCGGAACTTAGTCACTAGAAATAGTTTCCATCTGGCTTCCCCCATAATTTCTAAATTTATATATCTTGTCTTGTATATTAATTTGCATGTCAGCTCTTTCTCCAGGCTTTGAACCCAAGCTATGCAGGCTGTGGTTTCACAAAATTATAGTAAAAATATTTTTATAACTTACTTCAAAATAATTACTTAACACTATGTCTAAATAGAATTTTATTTAAAACTAGAGGCCCGGTGCACAAAATTCGTGCACTCGAGGTGGTGGGGGGGCAGTGTCACTCAGCCCAGATTGCAAGAGGGCGCAGGCCAGGCCGAGGGACCCCACCGGTGCACAATCGGGGCTAGGGAGGGACACGGGAGTTTGGCCAGCCGGGGAGGGACCACGGGAGGGATCCAGGGCATGTCCAGCCCATCTTGATCAGTCCCAATTGGCCAGACCCCAGCAGCAAGCTAACCTACTGGTCAGAGCGTCTGCCCCCTGGTGGTCAGTGCATGTCATAGTGACTGGTCGACTGTCTGCCCTGATGGTCAGTGCACGTCATAGCGAGCAGTTGAGCGGCCTTAGCATATCATTAGCATATTAGACTTTGATTGGTTGAATGGCTGACCAGAAGACTGGACACTTAGCATATTAGGCTTTCATTGTATAGGATACCAAACTAATTTTAATAACATTATCACTTAAAATACATAAAACATATTTACCTGATTTGACATAAGTGTCGAAACACAGTTATAAAATGAATCCAACTTTTCAGGTTTAATGCCTTCGAGAGCTTCCTTCTTGGTAAAAAGATTTATAACCTTTGTATACCATGTGTTCATTATCTTCTCTTCTGCCTTCCTAGCTTGTATTGATAGATCATTTTTCAGTGATTCACAATCAATTGGGCCTTTAGCTCTATTTATGAGAAAAATAAAAATGATTTTAAAGCAAATGATAGATACTGGTCTTGATATGTAATTGTTAAAACAAATAAAAAATTTAAAATTTTTTGAAATCTAAAGAAAAGTTCTGAAGATTTATCAGTGAGTTTTAAAAATTATATAGTCAAAAATATAAAGACTCAAACAGGAGACATTCACATTTTAAATGTTAATTAATAAATATGGGTTTTACCTAATTCCTGTTAAGTCCAGCAAAAGTGTATTAGCAAATGTCTTGTAACCAAGGTCCAGTAACATCTTCATAATTGGATGAACAATGTGCAAATTAGATAGTATTTGATTTCTTGCCTGCACATAGCTACCATGCCAAGGATTGGAATAATCTAGGCCTCTGGAAAGCAATACACCATGTTAAACAGGATTCAAACAATATACTCTAAGTTTTAGGAATAATATTTATGATATGGAATTAATATTAAAGAGAGAAAACTGCGGATTAAGAAGAGGGAAATCCTAAGGGCATGGAAGCCTTAGGAAATATGCATGTAATAAAAATACATCAAGATTTTGAAAGTGCATTATCCTCAGAGAGATCAGAGGTCATTTAAATTTTTTAAATTAAATTATTGGAGTAACATTGATTAATAACATGGTTTCAAGTGTACAACTTTATAATACAACATCTGTATATTCCATTGTGTGCTCACCACCCTAAGTCTAGTCTCCTGTCACCAAATATTTGACACCCTCTATCCTCTTCATACTCCCCCTACCCCCTTACCCTCTGCTAACCACTATACTGAGAACAAAGATCATTTGTGGGTAAGGAAGACTGATGGGCCAGGCATGAGTACCCTACTAACTTCCACTGTGCTCTGGCTCAGTTACCTTGGGCAGAGATAAATCAACACAGTCCTTAGTAATGGGGAGAAGGGATGGAGAAATCTATTTGGCATACACTGAAGCTCACTTAAGGTCAAATTGAACTGTGCATCCATATGCACAGTTCCCCTAATTGTATAGATTAAAACTACATAAGTACAGAGGATACTTTGGGGGAGAAAGAAAATCAGCAGTAGTACTATTTTTTTAGGTGTGTTCAAAATACCTTTGAGTTTCACAGCTGTAGACTTAAATAAAAGATCAGTTTATTTTCTTTTTCTTAAATATTTTTATTGATTTCAGAGAGGAAGGGAGACAGAGAGAGAGAGATGGAAACATCAGTGATGAGAGAGAATCATTGATCGACTGCCTCATGCCCTTCACTGGGGATCAAGCCCACAGCCCGGGCATGTGCCCTTGACTGGAATTGAACTCAGGACCTTTCAGTCCACAGGCCGACGCTCTATCCACTAAGCCAAACCAGCCAGGGCAAGATCAGTTTATTTTCAATCTATTATCAAAACCTAGGTGCAACACTGTTTTGAAAATAATTTACTCACACAGGGAATTCAGGTAAAGGACCTCCATCATCTTCAAGCCAGTTAACTGGAGGTTTCACAAGAACACTCTTCACTAAAATACATATATGTATTAATACTTCTTGAAAACCCTTTAAAGATGATCAATAACATTTTGAACCAAGATTTTACAGAGAATGAAATGAGAATCCATCAACTTGGAATCTCATAATTTCAAAAAAAATGTTTACTAGGATAGTCCTTTTGTTAATATACTCCAATAAAGCTTATACTCTTTAAGCATGAGCCCAGTAATCATTCATAATATTGATACATACTTCTAGACTTTCCTCCCATTTTAGATTGTTTCAGAAATAAAGCATTTTTCTGCTTAGTTTATTTAAATAAAACTATAGTTATTTTCTATAACTCAAATCAAAGTTTCTAACTCTTGATATTGAATGGTACAGTTTATTGTACATTAAATGAGTATAAGAAAAAATCCCTTTACTTGCAACAAAATCACTTTTGATACTGCTTTGGCCTTACTTTGAAGGTAAATTCAAATATGGTACAGCTTTAGTAAGTTCTCAGTTATTCTCTCTCTGTCTACTGAAAAGTCACTGCCATGGCCTCTTAAGAAAATTTATTCCAATAAAAATTGCAAAGGTTAAATCCCTAATAAATCTCCCCAAATCTGTTAATTTTATTTTACAATCCAGTACATAGTGTAGCAAGAATTATAAAGACAAAGTGAAAATCTAAAAAGCTATTTAGCTAATAAGCATATAAAAATTACTAAAAATGGCCTTAAATTGCAAATATTTTGACATTATAGGCTCAAAATAAACATTTAAATAAAAATAATATTTAAGAATACATATAGCTAAAAATATAACATGCATTATTCATATTTCTGCTTTTTATTGGGAGTAGCAGGGGAGCAACGGTGCTATATATTACTTACCCAAATACCTCTTCGTGCTTTTTTCAAAGTCACTTGACACTTCACTGATGAGACTTTGAAGGAGTTCCTCTCTTTTTTTCCCTTGCTTTAAAGACTCAGGTACCAGCATTAACATGTGATCCAGCCATTCCTGCTGAATAGGTACTATAGGACTACTTTCTACACATTGCTTCATATAAATATAGTTCAACTGAGAATGTAATAAGAAAAAAGTAAATGTTCTAAATGAAGTAGCATTTCAATGTAACTACTAAGCTCTGTGTTCTCAAGACAAAATTTTCCCTGAGAATAAAAATACTAGTATATTGCGAAATAACATACTTTCAGAATAAAAAGATTTTAACCCAAAGTACAATCTACAGATACCATTTTATATTCTTCTTTATTTATGATGAGTTCTCACCTAAATAATGTTCTTGGTATATTTCTCCTTTTCTCAAGGCAAAACAAAGACGTTTTATCTAACTTCCTTAACTCAACAAATATTCACAAATTCAACAAATATTTAGATATTGTTCCAAATGCTAAGGATACAGTAGTAAAAACAAAACATACAAAGCCCATGCTGTCTTGGAGATTATATTCTGGTACAAAGCAGTATAGTATAATTTCATAAATTCTCCCCTAGCAATGAGAAGTATAACAAAAATAGACACAAATAAATAGAAAGACAACACTAGATCTTGGTGAAGACATTTTAACATCATGAAAATTTCAGTTGGTGCCAAAATTAATTTAATGCAATACTAATATAAATATCTACACATATTTTATGGAACTAGACAAGCATAGAATTCATGTGGAACAATAAACATGTGAGAATAACCAAGAAATCCCGGAGAAAGAAAATCTACAAAAAAGGACTAGCCCTAGGAGACATTAAAATATACTATAAAATTTCTTTAATTAGAACTGTGTAGTACAGGTGCATTAATAGATAAATCAGTGGTAAAAAATGAAAAGTCCAGAAATAGGTCCAGTTCATAAGAATTTTAGTATATGGTAAATGCGGCATCTCAAATCACTGGAGCAAAGATGAAGTCGTTTCTTTTTATTTTATTTTTTATTGATTTCAGAGAGGAAGGGAGAGAGAGACAGAAACATCAATAATGAGAATCATTGATTGGCTGCCTCCTTCATGCCCCTTACTGGGGATTGAGCCTGCAATCCTGGCAAATAAACCGTGACCTGGTTCATAAACCACTAAGCCACACCAGCCAGGCCAAAGATGAAGTACTTAATGAATAGTTCTGGGATAACTGGTTAGCCATGTGGAAAAAGAAAAATATAATCACTACCTTACACTATACACAAGAATAAGTTCCATATAGTTCAGGAATTTAAATTAAACAGTGGAACTATACAAAGACTAGGGGGAAAAGAATAAATTTTTCTATAACTTGAGTGTATAGAAAAATTTCTTTGCTTCAAATTCCAGATACAAAAGGGAAAAAATAATTGAAAAATTCTGACTACATAAAAATATTTGCATGGTAAAAAAAAAAAAGTCACAATATGAAGGTCAAAAGACAACTGACAATCTGGTATAAAATATTTGCAATATATATCTCAAATAAAGTATAAAAAATACTTAAATTTAGTAAATGGATGAACCTTGAGAACATTATGCTAAATGAAATAAGCTGGTGACAAAAAAACCAGCATATTATTCCACTTATATGAGGTATCCAGAGTAGTCAAACTCAAATTCATAGAAACAGGAAATAGAATGGTAGTTGCCAGGGACTGAAGAGAGAGGCAAATGTGGAGTTGTTATTTAATAAGTTTCCGTTTTGAAAGATAAAGTTCTGGAAATGTGTTGCACAACAATATGCAAATACTTAACATCATTAAACTATACACTTAAAATGTTTAAGGTAATTTTTTTGTTAGCCCAGCCGGCATGACTCAGTGGTTGAGTGTCAACCTATGAACCAGGAGGACACAGGTTCAGTTCCCAGTCAGGGCACTTGCCTGGGTTGCGGGCTCGATCCCCAGTTGGGGTGTGCAGGAAGCATCCAATCAATGATTCTCTCTCATCACTGATGTTTCTATCCCACTCTCCCTTACTCTCTGAAATAAATAAAAATACATTCTTTTAAAAATAATAAATTTTATGTTAGTTGTATTTTATAATTTTTTTTTAATTTAGGGGAAAATAAGACCAGAATCCAATAGAAAATTAGGCAGAAGATATAAACCATTTCACAATAAAAATATTATTAAAATGGCCCCTAAACTTATGAAAAAAATGTTAATCTCACTCATAATTAGACAAAGCAAATTTAAACCATCCTGAGATCTCATTTGTCAGCTAATTGAAAAAAAAATACAGGTCCCACATAATGTGGTAAGACTATAAAGAAGCAACACTCTCATAAACTGTGAATAGGAAGGCAAACTACCACAACTCATGTGGAATGAAACTTTGTAATATCTAATAAAACCACATATTGACCCAGAAGTTCCACTTTTAGAAATTGAAAATACACCGTCAACAATATGAAAACACATATACACAAGGTTATTCACTGTAGCAAAATACTGGACGCATTTAAGAGGGGTTGAATAAATTATTATATATTCCACACATTGGTAGTCTGTGCAGCAGTAAAAAAGAATGAGGAAGTTGAATCAACACCTTAAATGTACACAATGTTATATATCAATTATATATTGATAAAGCTGGCAAAAAGAAAAGAATGAAAATCTCTATGAACTAATATGGAATGAGTTCTAGGATAAACAAAATGCAAAAGAATATTTATAATCTGATACATTTTGTGCAAGATAAAAGAAAAAAACATATATGTTTTTTTATAAAAAATTAATCACAGGAAAAATAAGCCAGAAATAATGACCTTGGTTATATAAATGGAGAGTATTGGAATAGGTAGAAAATTTGGGGAGGATGGGAACAGAGTAAAAGGGACAGAAGTATACATTTTACTATAGTTCTGACTTTTAAGCCATGCTATTGTTTCACATGCTCAAAATATAAGTAAAGAAAATCAGTAAGAATGAGGGGAAGAGAAACTCAAAATTTAAAACACACACACACACACACACAGAAAGAAATGAAGCTAACTGGATATCAACTTAATAATATAGTCATACTGGAAGAGGTATAGAACTAACCATGGTAACTTTTGAACACAGCATTTAGACTGTGTACCTTCAAGCTAAGTACAAAAAAATATATAGAAAAACACTGAACTATAGTGAATAGGTTTGTTTTCATGTGTTATGAGTTACTAATTTTACAACTGTTTATGTATATTTTAGGATTTAACAAAATCTATATATATAAAAGCCTAATATGCAAAGTGTCCCCTCAGGAGTTCAACCAACCAGGAGTTCAACCAACTGGGAGTTCGATCACTCGCTATGATGTGCACTGACCACTAGGGTGTGGCACAGAATGAAGGGAGGACCTGGCCAGCAGCAGGCAGCTGCTAGGGAACCTACCCGTACACGAATTTCATGCACTGAGCCTCTAGTAAATAAATAATTGTGTTTCTTAAAAGCCACGTTTCTCAAAAGACTAGAATGAACCCTGTGATGTTGAATCAGAATAGGAGGCATTAGTATAAACTCATGGTTTTTAAGATAGATGGATCATAGAAGGATGGCTACAGGGCAAGGGCAGGAGGAGCAGCTTTCTCTGCTGGCAGAAGACACTGTTCCTTTGCTGAGCCTCCCCCCTCAGCCATCAGTGACTGCCATACCTGAGTCTCCATCAACCTGGCTTACACCATTCTTCCTGCCCTGGTCAATTCCCTGAGACCCTGTCCCACTCAACTTGAGGACCCAACTAAGCTGCTTCCAATGGTGTTGCCATACAAATGGATCACACCCTGCAGACTTTCATAAAATATCTCAAAGGTCCACAACCTGCAAACAAGCAGCACAATTGACCCCCTACAGCCCACCCCACCTATCACCCCAGGCCCTCACAGCCCCATTGTCTGTGGTCATGGGCCATGCATATATGCATACAAGGTTCTTGCTTGTTTTATAATGTTGAGTCTTGAGAGGTCTTTATAAATCCTAGAGATAAATCCTTTGTTGGACATGCAATATGTGAATATTTTTTCCCAGTATGTAGCTTTTTTATCCATCCTCTTAACATGGTCTTTCACTGAGCAATAGTTCTTTTTTTTTTTTTTTTGCTAGTGCTTACTTTTTTTTTATTTTTTTTATTGTTTTATTGCTTAAAGTATTACAAAGAGTATTACATATGTCTCCTTTTTTTTCCACCCTTGACAATCCCCTGGCCTGAGCAATAGTTCTTAATTTTGATGAAATATAATTTTGGGGAATTTTTATGGATTATGCTTTATGTGTCATGTCTAAGAACTCTTTGCCCAACCTAGGTTTTCTTCTAAAATTTTTATAGTTTTACATTTCTCCCGTTTTTAATTATAAAACTTTAAAAAACAGTTTTACAATTTACACTTAAATCTATGATCAATTTTTAGTAATTTTTTTACAAAGTGAGATGTTTAGGCTGAGGTTTGGGATCTTTCGTTGTTGTTTACTTGTTTTATTTTTTTATGGATGTCTACTTGCTCCACCCTATTTATTAAAAAGACTGTCCTTCCTCCATAGAATTGATTTTTGCACCTTGCTCAAAAATCAGTTGATTGCACTTGTGGGGTTAAATGGGTCATCTATTGTGTTCCATTGATCCATTTGTCCAATTATTCAAAAATAAAAGATTTTTTAAAAGTCAACTGGAGGTCTAGTGATAGAAATATTGGAAAAATATCTTTTTGATTTGGCAATTAGTGGTCAATGGTGACATTAATGATGAAGTGGTGGAGTTTCTAGAAGCCAGATTGCCAAGAGCAGTGGGTTCAGGAGTGAATGAATGTTTTTACACCCAGGTACCTATTTTAGATTGTAAAACACTAAAAGGCAAAAACTGTGGAGGAAGAGTGAGGATGCTAAACACATAAACAGAAATATCTTATAATTCACCCGGCCTCATATTAGATATTTATGAATGTTTAGGGGTTGTTTCATATTAGTTCTTATACCAAGTAAAGAGGAAATTCACAGCCAAAATCTCCAGAAAAGTTGGGAAGCAGAAGGAGAAGGAGGACAAGTATTTTTAAACAACAAACTCACAATAGCTAAAATGAGGGTCTTCCAAAGATCCTCAATCCACATGAAGGAATCTTTAGTCCTCTATCCCCAAGGGGAACACTAAAGGAATGGAAAATCTGTACCCCTCTCTGGGAACATGTTGTATAAATTCCTCTTTGGTATAACTAGCTCCATGAGTTTACATATCCTTTGCTGTTAAAGAAATTTCTCATGTTGTCATCTTTCCACCAATCATATCTTAGTCCCTTATTGTTACCCATAGTCTTTTTTTTAAATCTCTAGCACCTTATATCAGTACTAGAGGCCTGGTGCACGAATTTGTGCACATTGAAAGGAAATTAATTAAAAGAAATATTTTAATATCACTATTCGCCCTTTCTCTATAATAGAAGTGTCAACCAAATTCATGATCAACAATGACAGATGGAAACACTCGCGTGCAATTGGCGCCAGCGAGAGCTTTATGTGTGTAGATAAACTTGCTTAATTAGACCTGCTTTCTGATTTAGCTAAAATTTTACCAGCCCAGTGAAGTACCCCAACTTCTCTTTCAAGTAATTGTCAGCAACACAGCAGTAAATATCCACACAAAGCAGATTATTATTGTAGATCACAGAGGGAGAACAAAGGGTGAAACATTTAACTGTAGCAGTGTTTGACTATATTCTGCGCAGTGAGAAAACCTGAAGTCATTTTCAAGTTCTACCATTTCTTACTTCTTTTCAGTCAGGTCAAGTTTCTAAACTTTCTAAATCTCCATTTTCCAGCTAATGACAAGAAAATAGGATTCAACTGAGTCTCCTATATACCTTCTGAGAGGATCAAATGAGATGAGGCACGTGAAAACGCTTCACAGACATTTGGTTAAAGTGTAAAATGTTTGCACCTGGCTATAAAGCAAGTCGGGTTCCTGGGCTGAAGAAACTCCAAGGAGGGTAGTCACTAGGGAGAGGAAGCGGGTATTGCTACGTGACGTCATTACCCGGCGCCCACAGCCACTGTTTCCAGGCTGGGCTAGGCTATGGGCCACATATTTGGTTAAGTAAAATGTTTGCACCTGGCTATAAAGCAAGTCGGGTTCCTGGGCTGAAGAAACTCCAAGGAGGGTAGTCACTAGGGAGAGGAAGCGGGTATTGCTACGTGACGTCATTACCCGGCGCCCACAGCCACTGTTTCCAGGCTGGGCTAGGCTATGGGCCACATTTTGTGGCATGGCGTCTTGACAGCATTGGCTGCAATTTGGTGGGCTGTTGAATAGGGTGGTGGCGGGACCTGTGTCCCACTTGGGGGAAGCCGAGTGTTGCTTTGTCGGCGCCAGGTCCATGGTGCCATTTCTTTGTAAATGGCTAGTGTGCATCATGGCAGCTCCTGCATTGAGCATCTGCCCCCTGGTGGTCAGTGCATGTCATAGGAACCAGTTGGATGGTTGGAGGGACACTTAGCATATTAGCCTTTTATATATATACTAGGGGCCCGGTGCACGAAATTCGTGCACTGGGTGAGGGGGGGGG